ATCAGGAGATGAAAGTCTGGTTACAAATTATCGACCTATATCGGTCTTACCTGTTTTTTCAAAAATCCTCGAACGTATCATGTATAATAGGATATTTGCATTTTTGAATGATAACAATCTTCTTTTATTATAACCAATATGGTATATACTTAGACTTGTCAAAAGCATTTGATACCGTTAACTATCAGATTTTATTAGAAAAACTAAAATATTATGGAATAAGCCACGAATACCATAAATAGTTTACCAGTTACTTAACTGATCGAAAGCATTTTATTTCTCTAAATGACGGTTTTCAGGCAAACAAACTTAAAATATCATGTTGGATTCCACAAAGCTCCATCTTAGGTCCGCTGCTGTTCTTAATCTATGTCAACTATCTATATAAAGCATCAAATACTACGTCTACTATTATGTTTGCAGACGACACCACTTTATCTTATTCTCACAGCATTGTAGCATTATCTCTCTATTTCAAGTAGCAAATAATTAACTAGAACAAATATTTAACTGGCTTATTGCTAACAGCCTCTTTAAACACTAAAAAAAATAAGTTTTCCTTATTCCATTCTAAACTAAAGTTTTAATATATTCCAAAATCTTTACCAATGCTATATATAAAAAACATCAAAATTGAGCGCTCATTCACAAATAAATTACTTAGTATTTTAATAGATAAAAACTTATCCTGGAGAGATCATATTAAACATATTAGCAATTAAATCTCAAGAAATATTAGCATTTTACATTTCCAGACGAATCTTAGATAGATAAAAACTTATCCTGGAGAGATCATATTAAACATATTAGCAATTAAATCTCAAGAAATATTAGCATTTTACATTTCCAGACGAATCTTAGACAAATCAACACTAACTCAGCTATATTTTGCATTCATGAATAGTTATTTATCTTTAGGCAATATTATTTGGTGTAGTACAAATAAATCTAAACTGAGTTTAGATTTATTTAGTACAAATAAATCTAAACTCGAATGTCTCCTTAAACAACAGAATCATGCAGCACGCATTATTCATTTTCAAAATCGCTTTACAAATGCTAAACCTCTTCTAAAAAGAAGGGCACATGATATTTATAAACTAAATATTTTCAAAATTACACAAAATACTTTCTCAAAACATTAAACCGATACAATACTCGATGTACCGGAAGATTTAAAAAACCTTTCCGTACATCAAAACTTATGGGCTTTGTCATTTCCTATCGTGGTCCAATGCTATGGAATCATTTTACAAGCCTCTCGTAATTACGATAAATAATGAAATGTATTTGTATTTAATATTTTTAAATATTTTATCGGAAATTACCTTTAATTGTAAATGGTTGCTTGACAAAAATATATATATATATATATATATATATATACATATATATATATATATATATATATATATATATATATATATATATATATATATATATATATATATATATATATATATATATATATATATATATATATATATAAAATAACCTATATTAAAAACAATAAATCTATAATATCTCCATAAAAGTTTCCAAAAGTATTAGAATTATATAAAGCTAGACATAATACGTTTATTTAACATTAATTTAAGCAATAATTAAAACAACTATTAATTAAGCAACACTAGTAAAATGAGATATTCTATTAGTTTTATAAAGATTGGAATGATGTTAATCTCGCTGAAATTTTTGAATCAGTTAACGACATACGATTTAGCAAGTAGTATAATAAGTAGACATCGGAGTCTCTATATGATTAAGTTTTTAATTATAATTTTGGGATACATTAGTGCAGGTCTCGGGCTCCCCGAAACGTGATTGGTAATTGCAGTACATTTCAGATGAGGGGGTCGCTGTTTTATTTACTACTCAATTCTACTTGGTTATAGTGGCACCAACATTTTTTTAAATAATGAAAAGTTTAAGATTTTCTGTAAAAAGATGAAATTTGACTGAATGACGAGTTACGCGAGTTTTGGTTGATTGATGTGATGATAGCTCGCTTAAGGTGGTACAACACCAAATAAATAAAAAAATGAAATAAACCTTCAAAATAAAAATGCTTTTAAATACAGTTTACTCAAATGATTTAAATAAAAAAAAGCAAAAATTTTTTTTTTAACTAGCATTAGGACCATAATGGCGGAAAAACTATTAAAAAATGCGTTTTTGGACTAAATTTCAAAACATAATATCTAAGGCTAGCCATCATTATATGACCTGAAATTTTGTACACTTACTCTAAACACTATTTTATTCCATTTAACAGATAGATTTTTTAAATATCAAAGTAAATGATGAGATATGTAGTTTTTCCTCATATTTTATTTATTTTTTGACGTTTTAGAGAGATCTGACTAAAAAAAAAAAAAAAATTACTGATCATAAAAAAAAATCCATCTGTTAAATGAATTTTATAGGTATTTCGAGCAAGTACTGAAAATTTCAGATCAAATGAACAATGCTAACTCAAGAAACTGTGTTTTGAAGTTTAAGCAAAAATAAAAAAACGCGAACTGAGATAAACAGCATTGAAAAATTCTTGATATAATATTTACAATATTAATTTAAAATCCTCCTGAAACATAACTGTCATTACATTCTTTTGCTTTCTCCTCATCTAGGTGACCTTTTTTAATGGCTCTAAGAGTTTTTCTTCTTTTTTTTTCCTTCTCTGATGACTTGCACCTCATTTGACTAATCCTTTTTTTATTTTTAGAAGTCGCTGAAATATTTGATACCTTACCATGTAAACCAAAATGTTTAAAAACACTAATAACACCCTTTGCACCATCATTGTATGCTAAAATAGCTGAATACGTTCCCATTTCCAGTGTTGATTTAGAAACAAAAACTCTTTTTGGTACACGAGCCCAAATAAGTCTATTAAGTGCCTCGTTAGCATTTTGCTTGTTTCCATGTAAACATTTTGATAACAATTCATCTGATTGTAAATTTATAATTATTGGTAGAATTAAATCTTTTATTCACAGAGGTATGGTAGATTTGGGTTTATAATTCTTTTGATTTAGAGCCCCGTATTTGCACCAACTATATTTTCCACGAGGACAAAACTGGTCGCGTGTGTAGGAATCAGGAAAATGGGTGAAATGGAAAAGTATGGCATAAACTGCTTTTTTCATTGAATACAAGTTTCCCACATTAGATCTGATTGCAAGACCATAGAAATTTTGCATTGAATTAATGCAGTTTTCAGTGAGTTTACCTCTGCCTGATATTGATTTTTCAGTACCTTTTTGGGCTTTGACAAGGTTTCGTAGACGTGTTCCTAACCGTTTTTGAACATGTCCAACACATTCCAGTTTTACAGGCATAATACCATACTCTTTGTAAGGATCTGCTTCTATTACATCATTAAAAGAAGATGTATCCCCATCTCCTAGATATTCTTTATATATCAACTTATTTTTTTGTAAAGATCTGTTAAACATAGCCACAGCTCCTACAGATTCCATACTACCCGATGAACCCTTGTGATTCGATTCACACTGGTGATCAACCAACCAACACTGATACTCTGGAGTTCCTTTTTTAGATCTCCACATTTTACATCCATTGCAATGTTTGGTAAATATCTCTGCATCAATACATTTATCACTACAAACAGCAGTTACAACACCATTCAACGAATTATGACCTCGCTTTTGCCATGAACCATCAATAGAAATTCTAACTTCTTTCATTCCAAGAGAGTTGTTTATTGATTTGGTTTCAAAAGCAGCTTTTTGCATACTTTCCTCAGCAGCAATTTTGTATACTAACATGGCAGTTTTATTTAACTTATTAAAGCCATTAGGCGACAAACAATAAAGATTCATACAGAAGGAAAAAGTTTTCATCGACTCATGGCCAGCACCTATTTCTCGCAATCCGATGACAGCTCGCAGGTTGATCTCATATGGTGATTCTAGAGATGAAAGTTCTTTTTTATAAATAGGAAATACAGTATCAATAGGAAACTCATTTGTGTTTAAAGAATTCTTTGACTTTGGTGAATTTCTAAAATTTTTAGAAAAGTTACACTTTGTACACTTCATCTCAAGTAAATGACAAAAGCCCATGCGAGAATTAACGTTATCTTTGATTAACAAATTTTCAATAAAGCAATTGGGGCAAACAGTGTGTGCAATTAATTTCTTTAACAATAAAAAGTTAATAAGTATAAAATAGTCGTCAGAGTCACATTTATCCGAGCTGAACGATACATCTAACTTTCTTGAGCTAACACAAGAAATCTCATGATCTGCAGGTTTTGATTTAAGAATATCAGATGGTTTAAACCCATTCCATTTTCTGCTCTTCTTTCTAGTACTATTTTGTTTATTTGGCATTTCTTTTAAATATATTTATATAATATATATATAATATAAATCCAAAGGGTAAACAAACAATAACACTCCAAATCTTTCAAATCTGTTAGCTGTTACAAAACGTGTTTAGTGGTTAAGAACAATGACTTTTAATTAAATTTCAATTCGGAAAACATAGAAGTGACATCAAGTTTACAAAGCTTGAAGACTCCAGTAAAATTGAGCTTATTTTTAGGGAGAAATTGCCCTAACAACCATGTTAAATATTTAGTATCTCCGTTGCTAAGGAAAAAAAGATACAGTGTTCTAATAAAATGTTCATATCTAAAGAAAGATAAATTATTTAGCTCTGAAACTTTGGCTAAACGTTCTTTGATTAATTTGACACATATTTTATGCAAAACTGAAAAACTCAAAAAATTTTTTAGTTTTCTAGTTTTTTTGGTGTTGTACCACCTTAATGATGATGAAGTGATGATAGCTTGCTTGAGGAGTGACCATTAGTAGAAAAGAGAATGAAACTTGATAACAAACATCAATATTTCTATTTAAAATTCATTTAAATATATAATTAAAACTCTCTTAAAATGTCTAAATCTTAAGTTAAATGTCAAGACGAAAATTGTAAGAGTTAGAATTAGAAAAGAATAAATAACTAAAAACTACATTAATCAATTTAAATTTATTTCAATTCAATATTTTGCCAGTAATAAACGCAAAAAAAATTATTTTTATCTGCGTTAATGAGGATCAAGAATTTCTTACATATTTTATTTTTAATTTGTAGACTGCTTCGTTAAAATCGCCAAGGTAATGAAGACTTTTAATATATATTGTAATATCATAGTACTAATGTAAGTATTAAGATATATTATTAACATTTAAGTTTGCAGTTATTTAGTATTTCTTCCTTTTAATGATATCCGGTCTCCAGTTAATAGGGTGCGTTTCTTCGGTCTAAAAGTTTAATAAAATATAGTTTTAATATATAAAGTTTAATTCTAATAAATAAATAACGTAATTCTCTTTAAAATAATGTTAAATTATAAAAATGATAAATGCTTTACTCGTTTCGTGTATTATAGATAAATAAACTAATATATATTAATAAATAACTATTTATAGTTATATATTTATAACTATTTATAACTATATTTTTAGTAAAGTCATTAAAGTATAAAATTGTTCAAAAAAAGATTGAGACAAAAAAAATTTAATTTAATTCAACCGAATTTATCTGTTATAAAATGGAATATGATAGCTAATGGAATAAACAATAATACATTATATATATTAAAATATATAATAACACATGGTATACAATGAAATAAATAATATATAATACATGACGGAATAAATAATAGCAAAAAAAAATTTTTAAATCATTATATGCAGTGCAACATCAATTAAAACCATTAAAAAATTTCAAGTAGAACCAAGTATTAAATTCAGTTTCATTTGAATAAAGGAATAAGAAATTTATTATACACATAGTTAAATTCTAAAGTATTGCAATTACTAGATTTAAATGTATTAAATTGTTTTATTTACAATTTAAGATGCATTTATATTCACATTGTGCATTTGTATGTTCACAAGAATACACTTTGCCATTTTGAAAAAAGTATAATTATTAAAATATATATATATATATATAAAAAGTTCAACAGAAGTTCTGTAACACCTCAACAAAATTCAAGAAAAGTATTAGAAGTTTAGCAGAAACTCTGTAATACCTACGCAAGTCAACAGAAAAAAAAAATTCCACAAAAACTGATAAGTAAAAACTCATCTGATAAGTAATTTTCTTAAGATAGATTTATAGACTTTACAACATGACTCGAGTTCTTTCTTTAGTCAAAATTAGTTGAAATAGATGTTGCGCCCAAATAGATTCTTTAATTTGTGTTTTTTATTCAGGTGGCCACATTTGAAAATAAAATTCCATGACTTTTCCATGACTCTTCAAAAATTTTATGATAAACCACTTGAGTCAAATATTCAGTACTTACCATGCACTAGGTATTTGCAACTTGGTCATTAAAAAACATGCAAACCAAAAACTAATTGGTAAAAAGTTCTGAAATCACGTCTGAAAAAAACTCTTTTTCTTTTACTTCTCTAATAACTTACACTGCAAAAACTTTTTCAAAAAGGACTTAGACATACTAGTACGTTTCTTTGCATCCGAAAAATATGACAAGTAGAAAAAAATTATGAATATTTTAAAAAGTTTTATGAATTTTCCATGACTTTCAATGAAAATTTAAGAATTGCATGACTTTTTCCATGACCAAATAAAATTCCATGATATTTCCATGATTTCCATGACCAGTGGCTACCCTGTTATTTAACAGATTCTTTGACTCATATGTTATTATGACTAATCAAATTTTTTAATAATGAAAATAAACTATTATTTATTAACTTTTAAATAACTTACAGCTTCATCGTCTTCTTTGTAAACTTTGATTGTCTTGTCTGCTTCACAAGTAAACAATCGAGTACCACTTTGATCAAAAGTCATTGCGAATATGCCACTTTCACTATCTAGGGATCCTGGCTGAACAAGCGTCTGTGCTCTTTGAAAATTGTATCCAGTCTTCCAATCCCAAAAATGCATGCTTCCGTTGTCGCCTAAATATAAAACGAAGCTCTTCTAGATCATTAAATTTTGGAAATTTTTTTGTTGTTGCAATAGTTACAATTTATATTAAACAATTATAAAACAATTTTTTTTCATTAACGATTTCGTAACTCTTATTATAACCAATGATATTATATCGTATATTTTTATAACCAATGATGTTATACCGTATGTTCTTATAATAAATGATATCATAATCAGTGTCAATTATAATCAGTAAATATTATAACATAATATTTATAAGGTTTTATAGCATCGAAATTCAAAAGTCTAATAATTTAAAGTAATACATACCACCAGAAACCAAAACATTATCTGAATTAATTGCCATACAGTTAAGAACAGCATTATGACCTCCGAGATTTTGGATGAAATTACCTTCTGGAAACTTCCATTGTTTTATATTGTCTGCAGATGCTGAAGCCATTGTATATCTAAAAAGTTAGTCAATTAAATTGAAGAAGCATTTTAGTCAATAGGCATTAATGTCATGATAAAGATATACCATTAAATTTTTTTTTTTAAAGATTCCAAATATAAAAACATATCCATTGCTTAGTCATCATAAACCTAAAAATTTAATTTACAAAGTGGGTTAACTTGTTTTCATAGGCTTATATACTTTTGTAGCAAGCAAAACAATTTTAATTGCTTATCAGTTAAAACCTGCTAAACAGTATAGTAAAAAATATTATAATGAAAAAATCTTCATCAATATTTAATATTATTCTGCAAGCATTAGTAGATAGATTAGTAGACTATCCATATCCATAGATCCACCCCATAGCATAGGATATATTCCTAAATTCTTTATCAAATTGTGTCAATTAATTATGCAGCAAAAACAAATTTACTAGCTCATTTTTGGAATTAAAATTTTAATATTATTAGAGATATTTGAATATTTTTAAAACTATATAAATAAATATATATATATATATATATATATATATATATATATATATATATATATATATATATATATATATATATATATATATATATATATATATATGAGAAAAAAAGACTTTGCTAAATGACAAGTCAAGTGAAATAAGTTTTAGTTGATATAACTAGAGAAAATAGCTCCTTTAACCAGCAACCATGAAAGTATTTGTAGAAAAGAGAAAGAGATTAAGACAACTTTACGACAATGGGAAAGAAGCTTAAGCTTAACAGATAGACTGGGTCCAACTAGGTTTACAATACGTTTTTGGATTTTTCCTAGAAGAGAAAGAACATCATTAGAAGAACCAGACCAAATATGACTACAGTATTCCATACAAGGACGAATAAGAGATTTGTAGAATAGAGATTAGAATCAGGAGAGAAAAAATGGCAACCATGATAAAGAGAAGCAACCTTGGTAGATGCTAAGTTAGCAATCAATTGTATATAAGGTTTTCATGAAAGGACAGTAGTAAACAATAATCCAAGAAGGCGTAAAGAAGAGGACTTGATGAGAGGGTTGCAATTCAATAATATAAGAATGTCAAGAGTACCGGGATAGTTGCTTGCAGTAAATAACTGAATTTTGTTGGAGTTAAAATTTACAAGCCACTGTGAGCCTAATCTGTTACAGAAGTAAGATCAGATACAAGATCAGCTGCCTGTTCTAAGCAATTGAAAAGAGAAGACTTTTGTCAAGACAGGAGTATCAAGTTGAACCATCAGCAAAAAGAGCTACTTTAGATGTAAGGTTGTTGGGAAGATCATTAATGTAGATAAGAAACAAAATATGATCAAGGATAGAATCTTCAGGTACCTCAGAAGTTACTGGAAATAAGGAAGAGTGTTGGCCTTCAAGGATGACTTTAATAAAGCAGTTAGAAACTTTAGCTACGGGAGCTGTAGTGATTTGAATGTCTAACCTGTTTAAGTGGAATGGAAGGAAGAGAATGCGCAAAAAATTTCCAGAGTAAATTCAAATTAGAAAAAAAGATCTTTGTAAATAGTTCTACTTTATCTTTGGGAGAGGTAATAAGATCAGTTCTATGATGAGAGATGAAACAAAGGAATGTTAGACCTACCCTTGTTAATGACGCTGTTGAAGATTTTCCAAAAGTCTCTAGAGACTAACTTCTGAGATAAGATATTTAGTGAGCTGAGAATAATGGAGCACCTGACAGCACCTTTTTTCATCAATTTCTTGCAATAATGAAAAACTGTTAGTTGTTTTTTTTAATATATATTATATATATATTTCAATAATATAGTTTACAATTTTATATTTATAACTTGTCAATGGTGATTACTGTTCTTTTGACCTCTAAAATTTGTTGCGTTCCTTTATAAAATGTTTACCTGCAAAAATTAAGTGACTTTACTTGTAGAAGTTTAGTGACTATATATTGTACTTGATTAAAATAGAGTTTATCGTTGTTATTATCAAAATTGTTAATAACAACGATAAACTCTATTTAATCTGTAATAAAAATACAGATTAAATCGAAATTTAATCTGTATTTTTATTGAGACACTATCTCTAGCCTTTACTCAATCAAGAGCCCCAAGGCAGGGGAATTTTAGCTGTATGCAGTTAAAATTTGCCTAAAATGAATATTTTTATTGAGACACCATCTCTAGCCTTTACTCAACCAAGAGCTCTAAAGGCAGGGGATTTTAAAGTTTCTCCTAGCCTTTGCCTTAAAAAGCACATTTTAGAAGGCAGCAGAGCATGGGGCAGGTAGTACTGGGTTACATAATACCAGTAGCAGGGTGATCGTGATGATCCTAAACTTGACCTTGAATATTATATATTAGAATTGACAATCAAAATACAGTCCAGAATAGTGTTTTACCTGAAGTAAGTGTAAATCTTACAATTTTACAAAAAAAAAAAAAAAAAAAAATACAGAAATGCAAGTACAATATTTTAAATTCAATTTAATTAGATTTTGTTTAGTTAAATTTTATTATGAGAACTCTTTAAAAATATTTTTATTATCTAACAGATATAATTTTATTACCTAACCTAATACGCTTGGATTCTTTTACATATCAGTATTTTACCAAATAAAACAAATATATGATGATCCATTTTTTCCTGGGACAACAGAAACTTTATGTTGCTTTTTATTAGGGGTATATGATCATCACCTCTAGCCTTAACTAAATCTTGTATGAAAGAATCACTGACAAGAGAACCTATTTCCACAGTGACATCTTTATTTATATATATTTTTTTAGGAAGTCTCTCTAGCACCTGTTTTCGATCAAGTGGGTATAATCCAGTTTTTCTGAAGCCTGCCTTCATACTTTTACAATCAGGTTCTTCAATTTTTTTCATGAGACAATTAATGCTGGAAACTGGTCTTTTGGAAATGAAGGAGCTTAATGTCCTTTGCCAATTTCCTTCCGAGTTGTTAATATTTTTCTCCACTGAGCTTTTATTGGTCAAAAATATGCAACATCCAATGGCTGCATTAAACACTGCATTAAGAGAAAGTGCAATAAACTTGATATTGTTTTCTTCACACAAGGACAGTACACATGTATTTATATCTGACATCAAATTGTCTCCAATTAGAACATCTTTTTTGAAAATCAAATGATCACAATTTTTCACTTAAAGTCACCACAAGGTGCGGCCAAAGCCACCCTATAATTTTTACTTAAAGTTATTTTTAATTAGTAGTGTTTTAAATTTGGCAACTATTATACAATACTCACCCTTTATAAATTTACTATTAGTTATAGCATCACAACCCACTCAAATATTACCAGCAGTTTCAACCAACTCACAATTTTGTAGCATATAAATTTAACAATTTTTATAGACTTTAACAAACAAACAAAAATTATATCAATAGTTTCGCAAACTACAATCTAAGTAATAAATAAACAGAATAATTTTACTTTTATGAACTTAAATTTGCAAGAAGTTGCATAAGAACAAAGTAGCTTTTGAAAGTTAAAACTATTTTTTATAAATTAACTAAGTCACCTAGCAGACCAAAGTTACCTCATTTTACGGAACCAGTATTTCACCAAATAAAACTAATATATAATTTTATCATTAAACAGTATTTCTGTTACTAAAATTCTAAAACTATTTGTTGTTCTTAATATGCTGTGTTATAACACAATAAACTTCTTTGTTCAATGTATATCACACAAATATAATACTTCAAGTTCCAGTGGACACACAATAAATTATCTTGACATTGAATCTCAACAATTCTATTATGAATGTGTATCTCATGCTGAATTTAAACAGAAATTATCTATAATGCTAACGCATAAAAGAAAAGAAAAAAGCTTAATAAAAGTTTAAAGTTTTTAAGAAGCTTAGTAGAGGTTTAAAATTTTAAAGAAAGTTTTTTTTTTTGTAAATTACATTAAAGACAAAGAAATTAGTTCTTATCAAACTAAATATTAATTCTTATTTCAAAAAAAGATGTAAATTTTTTTTTAACTGTATTCACTTCTTGAAAACCAAAGAACAAACTAAAGTCAAGAAGGGTATTGTTTTCCTTTTGTTTATTTTTTTATTTTATTGTTACACCCTAAATCCTACAGTTTTAAAACGCTAAGTTATAAATAACAATTTTCTTTTTTTTAAATATTTTATTTAATATTTAAAAACTGACATCAATTACTTATTATTAACAAATCTTACTGAGTAGGATGAATAACAATAGATCTGATGCTCTTTTTATGATTAGTCAACGTAGTTATGGATTTACCAGATGCCACATCCCAATATCGTATAGTACAATCATGGCTTCCTGTTACAATCTAAAATAACATCCATTTTTTTTCAATATATAAAAAATATCAATGATTGGTATCAATGATTTGTGGGAATTTTACTTTTACTTTTAAAAAACAATTTTTAATTTTTAAATAATATTATGATTTTTTTTTTTAAACTTTTTTACTTAAGCTTTTGATTAAGAAAAGAAAAAAAACTTCTACAACTACACACCCACCCACCACATCTTTGCTTTACATATAAAAATATTTTAACACCATTGATATCATTCATAATTTTGAACAAGTTTTTTAAGACCAACAGGTTATGAGTAAATTTTTGGACAAGAAAAAAGCCTCATTTTTTTAGAACAAAAATTTATATTTAAAACACAAAACTTTTTTAGTATTTTTGTACTAACTCAAGATCCATTTTACCACGCTTTTTACAAAATGAGCAAATGCCAAGTCTGGCAAAAATATATACTCTACTGTACTAAAAAACTTATTTATAAAAAGTAACAAATACTTTTTAACTATGATTTCCAGGTAGACTTTTTGGTTCACTGCCATTCCTGGAGGAATAAAAAACGGCTTTGATACGGCTTTTGGTGAAATACAAAGCCAAACCAATAATTTTTTTTTCATATTTGGCTTTAAAATCAAACTTAACATCTGGGGAGTCAGATTAATTGCATTTGAATAAAAACCAGAGTTGCAAGGCTGCCAGAAGGAAATTATAGTAAAGAATGATTTATCATCTAAAACAAAATCAATATTTTTTATATTCTTCTAACATTTTTCAACACTTTCTTCTTAGTGATTTGAGATTTTGCCATTGTTCAAAAATAATCAAATTTTAAAAAAAAAAAATTTTTTAATTTTTTCAAATACAATTTAAGCACGGCTTCAAATTGAGACTATTACAAACTTCCTTGTACATTTCTTTGCAGAGATAGCTTAACATTAACTCCAGTTCAAACTTATTCATAACCTGTTAAATAACAACAAACACAACAAATTTAAAGTTACACAGGCTGCAGATTTAGATTTGCTGGTAAAACTATAAAATCAATAATTCAAAGGTTAACCTAGTATAATTTTTACTAGCTGATCTGACCCGTAAAAATATGGGTCTTTGTAAGTCTATTCCACACTGAGATTTTCTATACTTTTTTCTTTATATTTCTATATATCTTTTAAAACCCATAAAATACAGGCCTTTACGAAATCTACTATTTCTATACTTATTTATTCCACACCGATTATTTCTATACCTATTATTTTACTATAATGTTTTTACAAATTTGAAAAAATTGCTTTAAGAGCAAAATTAACATGTACACCCTTTTAGCATCTGTTTTTCTCTTAATTGCATATCATTGATAGTTTAGTGAATTAGTGTGCTGTCATCATTGTTGTTTTGGAGAATTAAAGACAAATACAGCAAGGTTGAAATTTTTCAATCTTGCTGTATTTCTAGCAATACTTTTAGCAAAAATTTTATAATAGCAGATATCTATAATAAATATAGCAATATTTATAGCAAAAAAAATATTAATATAGCAAAAAAGATTTCTAATAGTTAAAATGAAATTCAAAAGTTTTCTCATTTTTACAAATTTATTATACCGATTGTTTCATATACTGCCTGCAAACTCAACATATGCTTAAGACGTTTACACTTACAGACATTTGTACCAGAGTTGTTAGTCCTTGGCCTTGCCTTAAGGCAAAAATTAAGGTCTTGGCCTTGAAACTTTTGGCCTTGGCCTTGAAATTTTTCGTCTTGACCTTGATTGTTTTGGCCTTGGCCTCAATAAAAAAATTAATAAAATTTAAGAACTAAATGTTTTCATTCTTTATTTTACGTAATTAATTATGTAGTTAATCATTCTTTATTTTATGTAATTACTTTATTAACTTAAGGCAAAAATTTAGGTCCTTGGTCTTAATAATGTTAGCGTAGGATGCGGCCTTGGCCTTGTCTATGGCCTTGTAACTTTTGGCCTTTGTCTTGGCCTTGGCCTTGCTACTTTTGGCCTTGTTAACAACTCTGGTTTGTATGCAACGCTATCCAAATAGCAAAACCAAGAAGATCTTAGGCCATTAAAAACTATAGACTATAAAAAGCTAAGAGATTGTCCATAAATTTACGCAATGCTAAATTTATTTTTAAGAAAGAAGGAGATCTTTAGTTCTTTTAGGTGGTGAATATAATCTCATTATATATCTCATTAAACTTAATGAGCTATTTTGATTTTTTATTTAACATACAACTCTGCAAGGGAAATTTTTTATCTTTTTTGTTTTGTTCATTAGTGAAATTTAGCGTTGTGTAATTTATGGAGGATCCCTTATTTAAAAGTTAAAACTAGGGATCAGCCAAATGGTATATAAAACCGAAAATAATGGAGTATAATACTATTTTGATGGTTATTTAAATTCTGTTGCTGTTGCGCACTAGGTTTAGAATGTTTAACGGGGGCGTGGTAAAATAGCTGTAAAACTCTAAATTTCCTTATTGTATCAATATTAAATAACTATAACTTTTAATTATTTCTTAAAGTAATTAATTCAATAAAATGGTTTATCTTAAGTAAAAAATTAGAATTTTCAATTATGTTCTTATATGAAACATACTTTTTAAACCCCAGTACTGTTTTAAAAAGTTAAGGTTGCTGCGTGCAAGTTCAAATCATCAGCTTGCTTTATTTTTTAATTTTTGTTATTTAAAATGCAAAACAACTTTACAGTTCTATAGATTTTATTTTCTATATATAAACATGTTGAATATTGATTTTTCTTGCACAAACTCAACTTAGTTGGAAAAAAACTTGAAATGTAAAACTAAAATAACATGAGTATCTCAATCATGATACATATGCAACAAATACCCCCCCCCCCCCGTTTTTTATTGTTTTTAGAATGTTTAGCTCTTTAAAAAATCTTTTTATTTGTTCAAGTGTATGACATCGTTAAATATGTTTTTTTTATAATCTTTATAAAACTTCACAAGTATTTTGTATTTTAAAAAATCTAAAAAAAATAAAAATAAAAAGTCACTGGTGGTAGGACTCAAACCATGCCATTCTTGTTCAAAGCTCAGCGCGCTAACCACTCGGCCATGCAGGCACATTGGTCATTAAAATTTTAAAACTATATAAAATTTTTTTTTTTAATGGAAATAAATGCTGAAGATCAAAAATTAAAAAGTGGTTGACGCAATGCAGTTTTTAAGAGAAAGTCAAACTGTAAAACTTGATATATGTTTTAGTATGTTTCTATTATAACATGAAGTTTACGTAGGTTCGATACAAGTTTCGCATTCGCTCACGTTTTCTTATAAAGCAAAGCTGAGACTCTTTCTCGCCAATTCCTCAGTTGCAATGGCTGCCAAGGGCTTCGTGTCAAACACGCTCCAAAGGACACTATTACGACTACTACTAAAACTATTAAAACTATCAAGTTCGGCAATAATATATAGAGATTTTTTTTTTTTAAATTAATAATTATAACATGATGTGACACTACTGTATGCATATTGTGAATGTTGTAACAAGAGAAATTGTGTTGAGTGCTGTTCAGAGTATTGTTAAATGAGAATAAATTATTGGAAAAATAAACAAGCAACTATTAAACCATTATTATTATTATTTAAATAACTATTTATTTATTAAACTATACAATAAATATTATTAAGAATTAAATTGTAAACATTAAAAAAAGAAACAACCAAGACCATATTTTGGTATAGAACAAACTTAGGTATTAGCCCAGCACTGAAAATAAAAAGCAAACAATAGTCTCTGCTAAAGTTTTCTAAAGTGATATTTGAAATTTTGAAAAAAATCTTAGCCAGTCAGAATTATGAAAAATAAAAAAGTGCAAAGAATTCTTTTTTAATGTATTGCTTGAAAATACTAATATTTTTTTGTTTGAAAACTAAACTTTTCTATGACATTAATTTCAAGAGGAAAGTGTTTACATTTAATTTATTGTTTTGAGACTTTTCCAATAGCACATAAGTCATTTTACTTATTTTTAGAATCAATCAGCAATTTATAAGGGAATAATGTACTATTTTTTATGTAATAAACTTAAAAAGGACTTGATGTTTATTATTAAAAAAATTATGTACAAAATCTAAAAAGAATCAATATAATAAATCAAACTTTTAAAATAAACTTCTTGTTTATAAAACGAATATCTATCAGTCCACCACTACTGCAATGACTTATTTGTTCAGGAGTATGGTCTTCATGATCATCCTGCTACTGGTAACATGTAACCCAGTGCAACCTGTTCCATGTTCTGCTGCCTTGCAGGATTTGCTTTCAAAGCAAAGGCTGGAAGGAGTGTGCTTCCTGTCATCAGTACTATCTTATATCAGTCATGCCTATAGTAATTTTTTTTTTTTTTTGAATATAGTTGGAGGTGCCTTAGTTACTGTATTAGCTCACCTGTAATCTACTTTATATGTATGTTTGTGTTCTGTCTGAACCTCTGACGCGGTGTTCGCTTACCCGTAAGTTACTTTATGTTTTTTATGTATGTCTGTGTTCTGTCTGAACCTCTGGCACGGTGTTGGCCCACCAGTAAGATACTTTATGTTTATGTTTTTTATGTTTTTTTATGTATGTTTGTGTTCTGTCTGAACCTCTGGTGTGGTGTTCGCTCAACCGTAAGTTGATTTATGTTTGTTTGTGTTCTGTTTATTCTCTGATGCAGCGTGAGCTCAGTAACTAGCAACTTACTCCAACTACAAAACCTACACTCACCTAAGACTCCTGTATTTTGTTAGATGCAGTGTTTATCCTAATGCACTTCCAAAATGTCATGCCTGGTTTTCTCAAAGTACTGTTGCAGGGAAGTAACTCCTTTTAACTACTCCAGGTCAGGTCAGGAAAATAAAGATCAATCTTGCTACTGGTATCACGTAACTCAGTACCACCTGCCACAAGCCCTGCTGCCTTGCAGAGTGTGCTCTTCTTAGGCAAGGGCTAAGAGAAATAAACTCCAACTAAAAATTCCCCTGCCTTGGGGCTCTTGGTTGAGTAAAGGCTAGAGATGGTGTCCCAATAAAAACACTCATCTTGGGCAGATGTTAACTGCATCCAGCTAAACATCCCCTGCCTTGGGGCTCATGGTTGAGTAAAGGCTAGAGATGGTGTCTCGATAAAAATACTCATCTTAAGCAGATGTTAACTGCATCCAGCTACTGTCTTGTAGAAGGCCTCCTAGGCAAAGACTTTAGAGGTAAGCAGAAAAATTCTGCTAACCAGCCTCGAACCCCTTCTTCATCTATTAGGCTGGCGTAGATGTAACCTGTGTTACATTGTTTCCTGCCTAGGATAATCAATGCTGGATCTCCTTGACTCTACTCATAGAATTTTGCTTATGCCTCCTTGATAATGGCTATGAAACTCTTCCTGTTATCTCCATATGAGGGTACAGCTCTAAAACTCAGTTTAATGGTTCTGAGGCCGGCTGGTAGTAAGGTTTTCCGAACTCTGTGGTAGCTCTCAGAGAGGCTGATTCCATCAACAGCTGCAAAATATCAGAGTATTAACAGTGCCATGTTGCGCATGGTGTCCCTGTTAAAGCTTTTGGTGTGCATTGTCAAGACCACATAAGGAGCCCTATGTTATGGCTTAGGGTTACTTAACAGGACTGAGACAACTGCATAGCTCATTGATTAGGAGGCTGTGCTCTATCTATGAATGAGTTAAGTTCTCATTTAAGTTCTATTTATTATTGCAAGAAATCGATGTATAAAGGTGCTTTCTGATGCTAAACTCCATTATTTTCAGTTCACTAAATCTCGCATCTTATCGCAGAAGTTAGGCTCTTGACTTTTGGAAAATCTTCAACAGCATTATTAACAAGGGTAGATCTAACATTCCATCTCTCATTCATGGGACTGACCTTATTACCTCTCCCAAGGATAAGGCAGAACTATTTGCAAAGAACTTTTCTTCTAATTCCACTCTTGAATCTTATGGACATTCTCTTCCTTCCATTCCAGTCAAACAGGTTGACCCATTGTTAGACATTCAAATCACTCCGGCTTCTGTTGCAAAAATATCAAAAATATATCATATCTCAATTAAACTCGTCTACAGCTTGTGGTCCGGACAACATTCCTGTCACAGTCTTGCAGAATTGTTCTCCAGAACTTTCTTCAATTCTCTCTAAACAATTAACAAGTGTTTGACTGAGTCTTGTTTTCCTGCTTGTTGGAAAATGGCATCTGTGGTTCCAATATTCAAAAACTCTGGAGAAAATTCTGACCCCTCCAATTATCGTCCGATCAGTCTTCTTTCTGTTATTAGCAAGGTCTTTGAGTCTTTGATCAACAAATTTCTCACATCTCATCTTGAGGCAAATAAACTACTGTCAGACAATCAATACAGTTTTCGATCCTCTCGCTCTACGGCCGACTTGCTAACTGCTGTAACTGAAAGATTTTATTGTGCATTAGATGGAGGCGGTGAGGCTAGGGCTATTGCTCTTGACATATCTAAAGCTTTCGACAAAGTTTGGCATGCTGGTCTTCTCCGTAAGCTTGCTTCATATGATGTTTCTGGGAAAGTTTTTGAGATTATCAAATCATTTCTTTCTAACCGGTTTATTAAAGTCATCATTGAAGGCCAGCATTCTTCTTTATTTCCAGTAACTTCTGGGGTTCCCCAAGGTTCCATCCTGGGCCCTGTTTTGATTCTTATCTACATAAACGATCTTCCTGACAACCTTTCATCTAAAGTAGCTCTTTTTGCTGATGACTCAACTTTATACTCCTGTCTTGACAAAAAATCTTCTCTATTCGATCGATTTTTAAAAAAGCATTTAAATGTTTAAATTGTTAAAGTTACATTTGTATATTAAATATATAGTTGTTAAAACCAAATACCTGTGGTTCAACACCTTGACATTTAACATCTGCAACAGTGTTTGTATGACCAACAAGGGTATGCACGCAAGTTTTAGTCCGCATATCCCATATCTAAAAAAATAGTATCAATATAAAAAATTGAAAAAGCTTTTTTTTAAAAAAACAAAACAATTAAAGCAATACCCTTGCAGTAGCATCCCTTCCAGCAGTTACAAGAACATCAATTGTTGGATGAATGCTAAGTGAATAAACTGCACTTAAATGACCGTGATAATGGCGAGTAACCTTGAAAAACAATTAGTAACACATAATTGTAAAAAATTAAAGTAATTCTATTAACAATATTTAAAAGATTTTAAGAAACAAAATAAATAAAAACTGAGAGAATATTTACCTTATTATATTCAAGATCCCAACATTTTACCATTTTGTCTTCACCACACGAGAATAAATATGGATGGCGCGTACTCACTGCCACCCCACGCACTGTACTTATATGTCCAGTTAATGAAAGCTTTAATTTGCTTGTAGCAAGATCCCATATCTATTCGTAAACAAATACATTTAAAAAAACATCTTTTATATTTAAATCATTATAAATACTTTTAACATAATATCCAATTATGAATAATTATAAAAAACTAAATTTTGTTTAGTGCTATTGACCATAACTAAATTTTATTTAGTACTACTGACCGGAAATAAAATTGATATTTATTGTATTTAGTAGTAAAACAAAAATAAATGCTTCAAAAATAAATTGAAAATGTTTTTGAAAAACAAATAAAAACTGTTCAAAAAAATATAACAGTAAAAATACGTAACAGTAAACTTTATATTGAAAAAACCAAAATGTTTAATTACAAAAACATCATTTATTTAAAAACAATTGATTTAAAAAAAAAAATTTATAAAATTACCTTTATTGTTCTATCAGCTGACCCAGTACAATACCACTGGTTTGCTGGCTCAACAGCCACACATCTCACCCAGCCTGTGTGGCCACTTACAACCTAATAATTAAAAAAAAAAAAGGTTGATTACTTAACTTATGAACTTATTCAGAATTATTACTTTTTTTTTCCATTTTCATAACAACAATAATATTGATTTTTTTAAAAATCATTATTATTATACATTGTACTCCATGAGAACGAATAAAAAAATAGCTTTAATCATAGTTTGATCATTTTTATTTGCTATTATATACACACTATACAATACTATTATACACACACACACAGATATATGTATATATATGTATATATATATATATATATATATATATATATATATATATATATATATATATATATATATATATATATATATATATATATATATATATATATATATATATACACACATATATATATATATATACACACATATATATATATATATACACACATATATATATATATATATATATATATATATATATATATATATATATATATATATATATATATATATATATATATATATGGGATTTAGTATTTGAATTATGTTTATGTAAACACATTTAAAAGATAAATTTATAATATATATATATATATATATATATATATATATATATATATATATATATATATATATATATATATATATATATATATATATATATATATATATATATATATATATTATAATATAAATTTATCTTTTAAATGTGTTTACATAAACATAATTCAATCCCATTGTTTTATTAAAAACATTTTTCATTAAAAAAATTTTCTATTACAAGCATTATACTAAAAAACAAAAGAGAAATAAATGATTAATGATGGATAATCAAATTTTATTCTGAACAAACAATTTTCTAAAAATGAAAACTTACAAGAAATGAGAAACACAGTATTTTTAAAATGGAAAATTCAAGCTATCAAAAGATACTATACGATTTGATTACATCAACAATCATAAGTACAATCCTTGTGAGTGCTGGAAAAATTTTAACTGTTGATTATTTTTTTTATTTCATTTTGATTATCATAATCTTTATGACAGTCCTAGAAATATACAAAAAGTATATCAAAATATATGCACAGAGTGTTCAAAAAAATGATGAAAATTTGATTATTCAACAAACAAGAAAATTAAGTCCAGAAAATGTCAAAAACTTTGACAATGAAATAATAACAACCACTCATACAAACAGAGTATCAAAAATTTGGAAAAGACACAGTGATAAAAATTTCTCTTGGACAAGAAGAATGACAAGATTAAGCAGATGACTAAAATATTATGCTAAAAAACATAACTTGAGTTTATATATAGTAAAATTCATTTTTTAATATTTGTTTTGTTTATTTTTTAAAAAGATTAATTTTTTAATAGAAATAATTTGCAAGTTTTATAGTTTTTATGACTTGTAATTATTTGAAGACCATGTTCAATTTATAGCTTATATGACTTGTAATTATTTGAAGACCATGTTTAATTTATAGCTTATATGAATTGTAATTATTTGAAGATCGTGTTTAATTTATAGAAAACTTAAAAAAAAAGCAATAACAATAATACTTTATAAAAACTTAAAGAAAAAAGGTTTTAGTAAAAAAAAAAATCTCTTATTTTTTAAACATTCTAATTTGATCTATAAAAAATATTTTTTTAAATTTTGTAGAAACATAATTAATTACACACATTTAATCCTCTTTTTTTGTTTTGTCAAATATTTTAAATTTGTCATTTCTGTGTATGTAACAAATATTTTGTGATAATAATGGAAGCAATCTATTGATTATGACAGAAACAAATACTCTGCATTTAACACTTTGATAATTTCAAAACTTTTTATTATTCAAGAATTCCACAATATAGAACCTATCTACTAATATCTACTGTTTACTCATGTCTACTAATATCTACTGCCTACTAATGTCTAGTACTGCTTAATAGGATTGTCTGAAAAAATTAGGTTTAGAAATTCTGTATCATATCATATTAAAGAACGTACTCATTAAATTAAGGAATGTACTCATACTTTTTTAGTTGATGTTACAACCTCTACTTTCTCAATCACATAGTGCTGAAACATCATTCTTGATTAACAACAGTAATACTGAAAACAAGAAGAGCCACTGCCAGCGATGTGACAGGGATATGGTAAAGAATTGAAATACATACTTCTTACTTATTAAGTACGTACTCACTAAGCCACTAATTATATTAAAATATAAGAAATGCACAAACATATAATGCACAAAATATTCTTATAGAAAAATAAAAGTTTGGTATATTATATATTAAGTCCAAACAACATTTTGACAAGCACTTAAGCTTACGTCGACAAACAAATAAGAAATATGCAAAGATATGAGATGCACAGAAAAATATTATTTGCAATATGTAAACCTGAAAAAAAAATTTAACCATAATTCAAATGGCCTATTGTTTAAAATGGTTTTTTACAAGTTGTATATATGTTTTTGTATGTTAAATCCTACTATATGGGTAAATATTACAGTCAGGGCTTTGGAGCTGCTCCGTAGCTGGAACCGGAGCTATCTGGAGCTGGTGTTTTTACAACGAGTAAAAATAAGTTCCGGTATGTTGCAAAGAAACTAAGAAATTCATAATATATTTCGAGCCACAGTTTATGCTGATCTAGTTGAAGAATATTGTTGGATAAGAATCTAATATATAAGCAAAACAGGCTTTAAAAGCAATATCAGAAAATAACTTATAAAAAAGAGATGCCAAAAATATAAAAGTAAGTCAAGAAATAAGAAAAACAGCTGAATCATCTACAGCACTTCATTCAGTTTTAGGTAAATCTAATTCTGATAAAGAATTAAAAAAGTTTGAAAAAGGGCTTGATAAAAAAGAAAACCTGAGAAGTGTGACCAAATTAATTTTTTGAATAAAAATTCTTTTAATACAAATTTCATTGACGACTGTCACGACGGAAAAAAGAAACTTTTTAAAGTGAATCAGCTTTTGAGGGAACTGAGGAATACCCAAATAAGATACTGAGCAGTCTTCTCTGTTTGAGGAACGCTTTGGCACTATTGCAGTTTTGCACTCGCGCACACGCCTGCCAATACTACGGTTAGAGCTTTTTTTAAGGGCTCGCCAAAAAATTTCAAGCGTGCTTTTAAATTGAAACAAATTTTTTTTCTTAACCAAATTCTAATTAAAGAAAACAAATAATAAATATTTTTTAAAATTGCGCACGATTAATCACTTCTATACCATTTTCACAAGCAAGTGAAGAGAGGCTATTTTCTTCACTAGAGTTATATTAAAGTATATTAAAAAGTAATAAAAAGTCTTTAGATTATATATACTACTGTACTTTTAAAAATTAAAGTTGTAGATATAGAGTCATATCTTGATCTAATTATTTAAGCTGACTGTAGTTTTATTTTTATTTTAAAGAAAAAGAAAATATTATTAGTCTTAGAATAGCTCCTAGTGTTGTAACTAATAAATATAAAGATCAAATGGAAGATTTAAAGAGTATACAATTAAATAGTAGATGCAAAACATCACGAAAAAAAAAATATTTAAAAAATTATTATTTTATGGATTTTAACCAACCTTGCCATAATATGTAAATTTTTACTTATTGAATTTTATATAAATTTTAGATAATTTGTTTGATATAATAAATTTTTACTTATTTAATTTTAGATATTTTACTTAATATAATTTAAAAGTTTTAATTATAAAAATGAGCAAGGTATACAGAGAAATTTTATTTAAACCTACCAAATAATAAATATTAAAGAGTTGAATGTTCCTTTTACCATGACATTTCTAAAAATGGAACTCAAAAGACATAAATAAGTATCACAAAGAGTAAATAAGTTTGATGAATTTTGCTAAGGTAAGATTTAACAGATAAAATGTTACTTCAAAGAATATATCTTAGAAGTAACATTAAAATTGTTACAAAACATAAACATAACAATAAAATTGTTACATATATCTTTGTTAGATCAAAGATATATGTAACAATAAAAACTGATTGAAACAATTTGATGGTAATGATGGCTTTTTATATTTAGTATTTTTTGATAATAGACTATATGTTTTTATTATATCATTAAATATATATTACATAACAGGGTGTCCACCTTTATCTTAATTAGGATTTTTATGATTTTCCCCTGATTTTTCCCTTATTCTCAACCTGTTCTCCCTGATTTTCATTTCAGTTATTTTTAGACATTCCAGTCTCTGCAAGGATTAGGGCATACATGGAAAAACTATATGTAGTTAAAAATTAAGCTGTTACATTTATATTTATTTTAATATTTAAAAACATACAAACAATTGTATAATACAACAATTAATGCTTTATTCTTATTTCCTCTATAAACTGCTCTGATAAATGAAATTGTGAACAAAAGAAACTAAACTATAAATAAGAGTAAAGTAGAAGTAAAATTTCAAGCTCAAATCAACTTATATCTTAAATAACTTATAAGCTCAAATCAACTTATATATACTAAAGAACAAAAATAGATATCAAATACATCAGTCATCTCAATAAAAAATCTCAATAAATTCTTAAATACTGGTGCAATATCAAAACATCGAAAAACCTATAGAATTTCAAAGTTCTTTACATAAATCAATTGTCTCCTCTAATTTTTTAATCTCTTCCTTTTTTTTCTTCTCTTTTAGAAAAATCATTGCTTCAATAGCATACATATGAGCTTGCTAATTATCAGCTTTCACAAGAAGCGCTTCTGAAAAGTATCACTTCGTAGTATTTATATTTACTTTTACCAGAATAATCTTTTTGGGTTGCAGTCTTTTATATCTTTAACAAGTGAGTCGCTTTTCTGTTTTCGAAAATTTTAACATTGAGAAAAAAAATGCAATTAAAGTAATAGTATAATAAAATAAAGATATATTTATTCAAAAAATAATAATAAATTTTAAATACTATAGAGAAATATACAGGGTTTTAGCCAGCCCAAAATAGTTCCTAAAACATCTATGCACCGCTTAAATATATTTTTCTACTTTTGCTTTTACAGACATTACTTGATGGTCATAATTTGAAACACAGTATAAAATCCAGGAACAATACCTTCCTTGAATTTCATAAAAAATTTTATCCATCCTAAAAATTACACCTAAAAGCTGTAAAAGATACACCTAACTTAACAAGTTTTTTTACAAATGTAGATATAAGTTTTCAAATTTCATTTGAAGACACATTTTTCATTTTGTTTGACTTATTTTCTATTTTTAAACTGACTTTATAATCCACGGTTATCTTTATTCAAAAATAACAACAGGTAATCCTGTCTTATTGTTGTATGTTGCTGTACTGTTTGTTTTGTCTGCCTGATATTTACATCAACTTTCAAGATTGGCTCTACAGGAGTGGCAGCAGTGATTCAAATCCTTCAATAGTTTTATTTATATGCTAACCAGTAAAACATGTCAACTTGTAGAAAAACTCTTAAGTTAACTTAAAAAAAACTTTTGCAGTTGTTGTTATAACACATAAAATCTATAGTTATCTAAAATATATACACTTTTTAATTATAACACATAAAATCTATAGTTAACTAAAATATATGCACTTTTTAATTATAACAAATAAAACCTATAGTTAACTAAAATATATACACTTTTTAATTATAACACATAAAATCTATAGTTAACTAAAATATATAAAGTTTAGACATGAAACCTATTAAATGAAAAGCGTATATAGCCAATATCTCTGATTTCTCTCTGAATTGTCAAAAAATCAACCTTATTTCCCTGATTGTTCTCTAATATTTTTGCAGCTATCTAAATTCTCTGACTATCCCTATTTTCCCTGATCCAGCAGACACCCTGCATAAATTACAGAACTTGATTCAATCATAGATAGTGCATGGCACCATCAAATTAGCCTTGAATTCAGCTCAACCTGCTAATCAATAAAAAGTTGTAATAAGAAACTCAACAGTAAACACTGAAAGAGTTGGATCAACTTTACTACAAGCCATCCTCAGAATCAATAAACTAAGCTCAAGGCACAAGCAAAAACCTAGTAAAGTCAAAAAGATCTAGTGTTTTCATCCTAAGCAAAAATGTAGTTAGAGGTAAAACTGTGTACTAATGTTACAAAAGTTATCTCTCTACCCACATTAGATAAAAAAAAAAAAGTGCAAGACTAGCTTGCAAAATGTAAGTAGGTAGGTAGGTAGGCTGGTAACAGAAAATTTCTGCTTAACCTAAAAATTGTTGCGTAGAAAACTACAAGACAGTAGCTAGATGCAGTTTTTTATCTGCCTAAGATTAAATTAGTCTGTACCTCTGCTTAAAAAAATTAGTACTATATGCATCACTATCCCACCACTACTACTACACACTAGATTACTACACATAACGCTACTTCATTAATATCACATTACTTTAACTTGCTCCAATTTTATTTTACAAAAAAAAACTTTTATAAAGAAAGAATTATAGTGATCATTGTTTGTTAAAGTCTTCTTTAATTTTCAGTTACAGTAATATGCAGATTATTCTGTCAATTTAGTTATATTATAAATGACTTAAGCTACAGCTATGAGTATGAAAAATAAATTCATTATTACTCTCCTTCTGTATAACATAGAAAGACTAATTTTTTATGTGTGTGTATATACAAGAATGAGATAAGTGAATTAAGCATATGAGAATTCAATACATCCAAGAATACCGCTATTTATGATAAAATTATCATAATACAGTGCAGATTCACAATCCGTGAATGTGCCAATCCTCCTCGCTTTAACTTTAAACCAATATCACAGTAAAAGCCAATTATTTCTAATATAATCTAGTTTAACAAAAAAATGTATTTAAAAAATTGTATAAACCATAGATAGGCAACTTTTTGAAAGGAAACAGCCAAAAGTTACAATTTACAAAACTTTTCAATTTTTAAAGAACTACCAATATCCTAATTTCAATATTATATTAATATCTGTGCATGAAGTTGAAGAGCCACATCTTGACATTAAAAGAACCACATGAGGCTTGCTAGCCGCAAGTTGCTAACCCCTGGTATAAATATTTAAATAATATAATGTAGCCCTTATAATTCCATAAATCTGCTTTGTTTGTACTGCCGACTAATCAACAACAACTTTGAAATTGTTAACCTCAACTTATCTAGACCTTTCCCTTCCCTTTGTCAACAATAAGTTAAAAACAGTAAGTTACAAATACATCTAAAAAAGAATGCAACTTTACCTTTTACTGTTATTAAAAAGGATTCCATTAAAATAGCAGTGGTTGTATTGATTTTAAAGTTAGTTTATAAAATTTAAAGAGATTTTTTAAATTTTTACTAGGAAAGTAAATATTACTTCAATTATAATATATTTATTTATTTGTGTATGCTTAATGGTTAAAGTCTTTTCTAAACCTTTCAAAGTAAGCAAAACTATTTTGAAGCATCATAAAGAGGGTAAATCTTACTCATATATACAAAATATTCTTGGATGTTCAGCAAAGATGATTTCAAATGCCATAAATCATAAAACAAAAGTTGAAAAACAAGGTGAAAAATGTAAGACTACCATACAAGAAGACTGAAGAATTGTAAGATATGTTAAAAGCAAACCATTTTTATCGGCCTAGCATATCTAAGATGATCTTGAATTGAAAAAAATTTAAAAAAAAGTCAGTGACACAACTGTTCATAAGAAAGAAAGTTTATATGCATACAGCCCACGAAAGGTTCCTTTACTAACAAAAAAACATTTCTGCTGCTAACCCAACTAATGTTCAGCAGTTATGCATAGATATTCTACAAGCATGGTACACAATTATAGCAGAAAAATGTCAACGCCTTGTTGAATCAATGTATCAGCATTGCAAAGTCATTATCTAAAGCAAAGGTTTTGCAACAAAATACTAAGGCTAAATATTATTATATTAGACTAATTTTTTACTTTTTAATGTTAAAAACTTACTTTTTTCATGTTTAAAAATTATTATTTTTTTTCATTTTCAGATACCACTGCTATTCCCATGACAGCAACCTTTTTTTAATATTGTTTCGTTTCTGAAATGTAAAACTACTATTGATGTGATTTTTTTTATTCTATTAGAACTACGTGTCAAAATAAATATAAATTTTTTTTAGTGAAAAAAAATTGCTCAAATAGTATTCAGGTTTTCATGCTGGTTTCATCCAGGTACTACTATTTTCATGCTGGTTTCATCCAGGTACTACTATTTTCATGCTGGTTTCATCCAGGTACTACTATTTTCATGCTGGTTTCATCCAGGTACTACTATTTTCATGCTGGTTTTATCCAGGTACTACTATTTTCGTGCTGGTTTCATTCAGGTACTACTATTTTCATGCTCACAGCTGTGATTTTTCCACTAAATATACAATTGTCTAAAATCTGAAAAAGAAATAAAAAATCGTTACCCTCATTAGTTTCCATGGAGCATGCCAGGTAGGTTTAGGCATAGTAGTTGCTTTTCGAGCAATCATTCCATGAGAAAAAGGAACTTTACTTTCACCAGTTGTAGCAAGAGCACGTTTTGGAGGAGCAATACGCTCTAAACCACCTGAAGAAAGAGCTTTATTTGTAATATCTTGAATCCCAGCTGCATATTGATTGTTTTCAGATCTAAATCAATTAACATATTTTAAAAGAAAAACCATTTAACAATATGTGACATGAACTACATATAACATATATAAAGACATGTAACATTGTTTGAAAAGAAGAAATAGGGCAGATGTGATTTAGCACATTTTATTTAAATTTGTTTTTTTTTTTCCACAAGAGTGCTATTAATAGAGAATCATTAATTATTTTATTAGCTCAACATTTTTGTTTTTTGTTTTATATCTATTAGCTCAACATTTTTGTTTTTTGTTTTACTAATATTTTATATTGTTTATTTTTATTTATATTTATATTTTATTATATTATTTATATTTTATAATGTTTTATATTGTTCTAGTTTCAATGATAAAATTAAAAAACATGTTCTGCAGAATATTATTCTTTACATTCTGCCGTTATTTTTTTTATCTTTGAAATATAACAAAATTTAAAATAAAATGCTCCACAGAAAATGTTATTTTTTATATTTGAAACTAGAACAATGTAAAACAGTTTAATAGGTAAACGCTAACCTATTAAATGACAATTGTGTTCACCTTTTAAAAAATTTGCCAGTCAAAAAAAAACTTTTATTCAAAACATTCACAGAGCAACATGATTCATTATTTTAGATAAAAACCTAATTTCAAAAATAATGTGGTTACTATTGGTTACACCTAATTAAATGTTTAAAGACTAGCCAACAACAATAAAAGTCTTCAATAAAAAAAAAAAAAGTAAAATAATATACATTTGATCTGAAGGATAACGAGCTAATGATTGATTGACTGCTAATGCAGCAGGATGTCTTTGATTTGCTGTTGAGCCATCTGTTAAACCTATGATAAGAAAAAATTCCACTAAAATAAAGATATGAGAAAAAAAACTTTATCAAACAATTTTCATTAATAAAATTTAAAACTTAACAACTATTTAATGACTGAAATAAGTTAAACAAAAACAACTTGCACATAAATATACCATAAACATTAACAATTTACTAATTTAATACAAATTACTTTTTATTGTTTTATTAACTTTTATTTTAAATTATTATTTTTAAATTTTAATTTCCTAATCATTTATTTTATCAAAATACAAAAAATAATTTTAAAATTATTTATTCAAAAATTTATATTAGATAAAATCTTTTACAAAATTGGGCAATGCCCAATTTGTAATTTTTGTTTAGATTTGGGCAATGCCCAAATCTAAACAAAAATTCCAAACTCATGATTGGTCAAAACTTAAAAGACTTGAGATTGTTTGTCTCAATAATTTAGAAACTCAAGAAAGGTTTCATTGGTTCTATAATTGGTTTCAGAATTTACTTAATGCAAGTGTGAAATTTTTTGATTTAAAGTAAACATAAAAAATTTAGAAAAGACTACTTTCAATAAAATATTTTATACATAACATAAAGTCAAGGAATAATTTATAACAGGATGTGCAAAGTTGATTTTCAGACTTGGCTAGGGAAGACCCTTCAATGCTATTCAATTTAAACGCTTATAAAATTAAAAAAAAAAAATGTTTTGTAAAATCAATATTAATAAAATACTTTTACAGTGAAAATAAGTCAAAATTTAATAAAAGTAAATTAAAAAAAAAAAAAAAAAAAAAAACATGAAAAAAGAACATTTGATAAAGTTTATCTATAAAGAAATAAACAAATATTCTCTACAAGATTTTGTAATATTAATAAAATAAATTTTTTTTAAATATGAAAAGCCATTTCATATTTAAAAAAAATTTTCATTTTCATTCATTTCAGATAGAAGGGTTCATTTTAGATAGAATGCTTATAAGTCTTTTTTTACAACTTGCACTTGTTTGGTTTTTTTTCACAAAACATAAAACAATTTTAACTAGCTGATACATATTCATGAGGAACTGTCAACTGATACACTCACTGAGTACACTCATGAGGAACTGTGAAATATCTCCTTGAAACCTCTTCAATGAAGTTTTTAGCTTCATTTGTTAGTATATGTTCATCTTCAGCATAAACTAGGTCACCCTCACATTTTTTTTCCGGCCACATAGGCAGCAGAACTCTTCTCAGTTTCAGAAAGACACGCATCATAAATGCATGTTTCAATTCAGGTTGCATTATTAAAACTAATTGGATCTTTGTATAGCAAACTATTTGAACATTTATCTTGCGGAGATTTTTTGCGGTCTCTTATAGGGTTGTTAACCGGAGGATTTCGTGCAATTCCGGAAAAACAACATTCTTTCGTAAGGAGATTGAGAACGAGGAATTACATTTTTTCGTACCGAATGTTTCAAAACATTTAAAATCGCTGATGTTCATTTCGCAAAATTCACTTCCGAAATTTAGCATTTCGCAAGTTGACATACGAAACAAAACTATTTTGCAACATACGAAAGTACGGTTTCGGAAGTTGCACTTGCGAAACAAACATTGTCGCTAATCGACGTTTTGAAGTCTATAAAGAAATTTTGTTTGCCAGACTGATTTTAATTGTAAAAATTAACATCTTTAAATCCCAAAATGTTTATAATGAATTTTTATTTTCAGTATAATAACATATTAAATTTTTTTGATTTTATTTTTAAAAATATTGATAAAAAATAAAATTTCTTTCGAAACGAAAGTATTTCGGATCACAACATACGAAAGAATTCTTAACGGAAATAAACTTACGAAACGTTCCATAATAAATATATATAATGATGTTTTTTGAATTCATTACGTATATTAAAAATAAGAATGATGGGTAGGAATATTCATGTTTTTTTTTTAAAGCATATGAAATTTTTGAAACAGGTTCGAATATGCTTAAGCAAATAGTAAAAAGAGGCTCAAAAATATGCTTTAGCTTAAGCATATTTCTGATAAAATATACCTATTTCAATAATTTCTAAAAGTGTGCACGTTACTAAAGTTCTAGCAGATTTTAAAGGTATTTAGAGTCCTGTTTGAATACGCTTTTCGAAGTATAGATCTTAGAAAATATTTTTTTTTAATTTTAATAAGATATAAACTTGAGTATAAGATTGTATAGTTCAATCAGTTAGATACGTGATAATTCGCCGCAGATATCCGGGTTCGCATCCCGCAGCCATTGTAACTTTTGTTCATCAAACTCTTTTTACTTAAGATAGCATTTTTTGACCTCCATGTTCTATATTACAGATCTTTCGTCACCTTCACAATAGTGACAACCTCTCTTCTGTTAGTTATTCTTTTAAGATTGAGTTCATTGTGCTTAATTCAACACGTTTCCCTTGCTTTACCAAGTTCTACCTAAATTATGAGGAAATGTACTGAAAACAACTTTTTCAAATAATATAAATCATTTTGCTTTAAATCTTTTGCTTTTTGTACTAGACATCTGTCCTAAATACTTTGTAATAATTTCTAGCTAACTCTGAGTCTAAAGTAAAAGTAACTAGTTTTTGAGTCCAGATATTAATTATAAGCATCTAATTGTTCACATTACTATTCATTTTCCTGATATATAGAATCCTATTTGCATACGATCTCTTTCTGTAAATTCTGCTTTATATAGTTTCTTGATTATATATTAAATAAATATTACTATTCACTTAGTTGAATGAACGTATAGCTCATTCAGTTAAGACATTTGGCCGCGTAGACCCAGGTTCACATCCCGCTGTTTCACATATATTTCTTCTCTTTTTACTCTTTCTGATATCATTTACCTTTAGAGAGATCTCTCGTTCTTTATAATAAAGTATTTAATTGTTTATCACACATACTCTTTATACTTTTTAAAAAGAAAGGCATACTGTTTATCTGTTCATCGAGAGTCCAACTTAAGGGGATTTTACTGTATATATATGTATATATGTATATATATATATATATATATATATATATATATATATATATATATATATATATATATACATATATATAAATATATACATATATATAAAGTAAAATCCCGTTAAGTAAAATCCTGTTAATATATATATATATATATATATATATATATATATATATATATATATATATATATATATATATATATATATATATATATATATATATATATACATATATATATATATATACATATATATAAATATATACATATATATAAAGTAAAATCCCGTTAAGTAAAATCCTGTTAATATATATATATATATATATATATATATATATATATATATATATATATATATATATATATACATATATATATATATATATATATATATATATATATATATATATACATATATATATATATATATATATATATATATATATATATATATATGAGAAAAAAAAAATATATATATATATATATATATATATATATATATATATATATATATATATATTTAGGTATATTTGTATAAACATTTGAAGAATCATTTGACAACATTTTTTTATAATTTTATTATTTATTATTTAAACTGTTAACAGTTAATATCTTAAATATATCGTAACATAAAATCTTTTGTGTCTTTTTCGTAACTACACATTCCGAAATGCTTTTTCCGTAAGGAACTATTTCATAAGTATTCTTACGAAATGATTTGTTTCGCAAGTTTTCTTTCGCAATGCTTTATTACGGAATTTTATTTACTATTTATATTTTCGTATAGCGCGTTACGGAATGTGCATTTTTGCATGTGCAACTTCCGCAATAACAATTCTATTACGGTAGATAAAGATGCGAAATTTTCGCAAGTTTTGTTTTTCGGCGAACAACCCTAGTCTCTTAGTCTAATATTCTTCCCTTTTGCAGAGACATTAACAATATTATACCAAGAGGATGTTTAAAAGATGATGTTTCATGAGCTTCTTTTATTAAGTAGATGAACTGTATAAAACAAAAGAAATAAAACACACTGATCATTTAATGAATGAATGACCTGATAGTAACTCTCTTGAAAATTTTATAACCATCTGTTACAGATCTTAAAATAATGACACCCTGTTTTTTAATTATAACAGCAGTTTATTTCACATCTTTAAATTGATACATTAATGTTAATTTGTGAACTCTGTTCACAAATTAACAAAATAACAGAAACTATTAAACTAGGTCCATCATGTAAGCTTTTCATCATGACACATGGTATAGAAGTTGCTTAAATTCTGGATCATTTTTTTCCATCCCATTTTAAAACTGCACCTGAACTGTTGGCCTGATTTTTTACCTCATCAGTTATCAAAAAAACATTTTTATGATGATTATTCTTTACTTTTTTAAATGTTTTTTGTGAGATCAATGTTTGTGGCAAAAATAATAGACTGCAACTTTCGTTTACTTGAAAGCATTTAAAATTACAAAACTGATCATAGTTGCAGTTAAAAAAAGACTCAATATTAAAGCAGTAATCAGCTAAAGACAAACTTTTGTTAAACAATAGTTTGGATTGTCTTGTAATAAAATTTAAAATTTAAAAGTTTTTTGCTTGATAGCATTCTTTAAATCAAATTCAAAAAGTTCTAAAAAAAAAATCAATAATATCATAAACTTTATAATTGATCATAATTATTAACTAAATTAACAGCTTCAAAAAACTGTGAATAGAAGACCAAACCACTTTTGGGATTCAATATATTACTTAATAGATAACAAAATCTAATATCAATCTAATATCTTTAATATCAAAACGAGAACAGCAGTAAAGATTATTTTAGTGTATGTTAAAGATCTTATGAAGTAAAAAGATTTCAAAAATTTCAAAACAAGTAGGTTATTAGTTTGGAAAATAATCATTTTGCCCGAAAAAAAAAGCGATTTCGAAAAAAATATTATTGAAAATAAAATAAAAAAAGCTTTGGTCACTTTTTGTATTATTTTCAATTGATCTTTCAATTGAAGCC